TTATTTTATATTTGCAAGGCTGCTTACCTGGTCCTCTTTTTCACACATTCTCAAGTTTTACCAGGTGAATGTTCAGGCCTCAGCTGATTTGAGCTTTGTCTGCAAGGTGCTTCAAGCCGGTGTCTGTTTTTTGTTTTTTTTTTAAAGCTGGTGGTCGGCTCTTTTGTAGTAGCAATTGGAGTGGCTTCTGGACATCCCCCACCTCATCCCCCTCCCGCTGCTTTCCGGCGCCCTCTCAGGCTCCCCCCGTTCCACTGGGAGACCCGAGACACCAGTCGGCACATCCAGACAGCCAAACAAAGCCGGAATCGGCATTGGTCTGCTCTCGGTTACAGTAAACCAGAAGTGATGACCTGACATCACTTCCAGTTTACTCGTAAGTAAACCGTGCCATTTAAAAGAAATAAAAAAAAATAAAAGCACTCAAACACCGATCTTGGTGTTTTTTGAACGCTGTTACATTCCTTGTGACAGCAATAAGTTGCAAAAAAAATTAACCGCCTCTCGACCGCCCTATAGCAGAACTACTGCTACAGGGCTGCACAAAAGCGCACGCGTGTGTATATAATATATTTATTTCCGGGTAGGGGGCACACACACACACACCACCCTACCCGTGCCACCATTGGTGGCTTCAGCTGTCGATCACTGGGTCCAAGCTAGAGATTCCATACCCGGCACCCGATGAACAGTGACAGAGGAGAGGTCTGTATGTAAACAATACAGATCTCTCCTGTCAGCTCCAGCACGCTGTATTGTAGTTAATTGCTTGAGGACGTCCCATGATCTATGAATATAAGTTTTGTATCTTGTACTGTATGATTAAGATAATAAAAATTTTGACTTGCCTGTCAATTACTTATTTTTGGAGCACAGTATAGGACACGGGACTGTGTCTTGATCACTCTTTATTGCTTGCTAAAATAAACCCTGCAGTATCACAAGTGGGTAGGGTTATATGAGCGTGCGCTAGGGGCAGACATACAGGTTTTTGCCAGCTATCGCCTGAAGGAAGCCTACATATAACCCATGGTCTGAATGCAAGTTCTGTGCCATGTACTGGACTCCAAGATGAGGAATTTATAGGCAAGTCACAGTTCCTATTTTTATTTAGATGAAATATAGTGGGAATTAAAGCTAAACTCCAGGTTTCCTCTTACTTTAAATAGTAGTTTGGGCCAAATTGGTCCAAACTCTTTTACTATGTGGCTACTGTGAGCACTCTATCATAAAGTGTTGCATAAGCTGTATTCAGCCTTGTGTTCAGCAGCTACTTGGGAGACTTCCCATCTGCTGCTAGAACAAAATAGTTTTGGGCTTAGTAATTCAGTGATTTGGGGGAAGTCTTATCAACCAAACTGCTCTCTTCGATCCTCCCAAGACCTTCTGCTCTCTAGTTCCTGTGTCTTCCTACCATGCTCGCCTCCAGGACTTCTCCCGAGCTTCTCCCATCCTATGGAACTACCTACCCCAATCTGCCCGACTATCTCCTAATCTATCCACCTTTACACGATCCCTAACAGCCCTTCTCTTTAAAGAAGCCTATCCTGCTTCTAACTAATAAACTGTCTTTTATGTCCTCCATCAGCTCATCCCCCACAGCTGTTACCTTTTTTGTATCACTCAACACTTCCTCTTAGATTGTAAGCTCTAACGAGCCAGGCCCTCTGTTTCCTCTTGTACCAAATTGGATTGTAACACTGATGTCTACCTTCATTTTGTAAAGCACTGCGCAAACTGTTGGTGCTATATAAATCCTTTATAATAAAAATTAGTCTTGTGTTTTTTTTTATCTGTTAATACAAGGCTCCCTCAGATTGGCTGAGGTGGAGGGGCAGTCGGATGCTATGCACAGCTTATGGTATATTCTGCAGAAGACAGTGAGCAGGCGGGTAGGTTTATTTTATTGCAGAAGAAATGTTGCATGCCCTTACTGCAATAAAGAGTCTACTTGCTCCGTGTGTGGTTTTTTTTTTTTTTGAGGCTCAATTTTTTCACTTAATTTGGACAGTAAAAATCACTGCTACCAAATGAGAAGCTATTTGTTTTTTCGTTTGGGTGAAAGCAAGTTCATTGTTTATTGGCCTAGTGCAAGGTGTTTCCTGCTTGGCCATTGTTAATTTAAAACATCACACTTTTTTTTTTTTTTTTTTTTTTATCTGGGATTACTACATGCGGTTTTGGCTCCGTGTCTTCTCTGCAGACAATTTCAGGCACAACACTGCTATCCATACCTCCAGCCTAACGTAACTCTTGCAATTTATTTTGGAGGGCCCTTCGACCCCCCGTTTTAAACACTTTTTTTTTTTATCTGGTAATACATATGCTAAAGTCAGTATTTATGTAAAGGTTTGTGAGAAGGGGGTAATCACAGATTTAAGAGCCTACTTTTCTTTTGAAGGATAAAGTGGGGAACATTATGTAATGTGTTATGAATTTTTTTTTTTTGTTAGTGCTCCTTCCCTCAGTTTGCCCCCAACACTGGGGAAGCAAATGAAGGGAAACGTCTCCAGAGGGCCCATTCCATGATTAAAAAAAAAAGTAGAGAGGTTTAGGTATTTTTTCTCAGATTGTATCTGTGTTGTTTGTATCTCCATTAGGAGGATTTTCCCTAATTTCTTGACCAATCAGGCCTAGTTACCACATTGGGAAGGGGGGAGTGTGGCTGTGGGTATGCAAAATTTTAAACAGTTTGTATTTGCTATTCAGAAAGGTACCTGATGTTGCTCGAGTGGTACATCATTTAACAGAGCTGAGCTTATGACCTCTTCTAGCTACAGCTTTTGAAGCATAATTAAATCCTATTCTTTTGCAGCCAAGGACAGCACCATCTTGGCCTCTATTTAGATCTGTAGTTGCTATGGTGTTGGTGTAGCACACCTGACCATTTTATGACACAATCCATATTGGGGCTTGCAAGTTTGGTCGAGAGCTGACATAAACACACTGTGATATTTAGAAGCTTAGGTTGCCTCTAGACTCCTGGGATCCATGAGACAGACATCCCGGGAGTCAGCGGGGCAGCCTAATTATGTAGCTCGCCTAGGTGGCCTGAATAGGCATTCGCATGAAAAAAAAATTTCAAAAAAAGGTACTTTCACATAAAATTTAAAAACTTTTATTAGCCTATTGTATAAGCACAAAGGGTGGATAATACAATAAGCAAAACGTATAAAAATGAATGAAACTCCGCTTTAAATTTCAATTACTGGATTGAAAAGTAAAGATTGTATTTCTGCTTACCATTTCTCAGATATAGTGGCTTCATTCGGTTTCTTTTTTTTGGCTTGCTTTTATTTTCACCTGGTGATCCAGCCTGTAAGTCTCTTTATCGAAAGCTCTCCTGCAAATGTATCAGTTTATTGTATTTAGACAAACAAATTACCACTGGCAGGGGTACTTACAATTATCAGCTTTTGTTTATTCATGTAAAACCTTTATCCAAAAAACCTTAATCTGAAAACTGTTACTATACCTGCTTGTGTAACTGCAGTGTGAGCCGACCATGCTGCTTTCTAAAGGTTCTCATGTGCTTCTTCTACTAGAGTGGGGGCGCTTTAATACAGAAGGTGTGTTATTGGCTAGATCACCAGGTGAAAACAGAGGGAAAAAGCCTTTTAAAAAAAAAGAAAAAAAAAAACCCTAATGCAGCCACCACATTGGAAGATTGGTGTGCTACATTAGATGACATATTTGGCTTTGTGCCTAATACTGCTTTCATGGCTAATTTGTTCTAGGGCTGGTTCACACCATGAATCAAACAGGAATGTGCTGTGCGTTCAGGTTCCAGGTCACCTGAGTGCTGTGATAGCCTTTGTTTTGTTTTTTCTCCTGAGTGGAGAGAAAGTTACACATAGGGGTAGATTTACTAAAACTGGTGCACTCAGAATCTGGTACAGCTGTGCATGGTAGCCAATCAGCTTCTGACTTCAGCTTGTGCAGTTAAGCTTTGGCAATTAAACCTGGAAGCTGATTGGTTTCCTTTTAGAGTTCCGCCAGATTTTGCACACTCCCATTTTTAGTAACTCAACCCCTGCATTGTTCTCTCTCTGCCAGGGGAGAAAATGTAAACAAATGTATGTTAAAAGATGGAAAAAAAAAAGAAAGTAGATCAAGGTTTTATCTAGTTTATGGTCAGAGGTCAGTCAGTATATTTTTGGTAGGATTTAAAAACAAGACATTTTAGGCTAGGTTCACACTAGTGCGATATGTCGATTGTGATTCGCACAGGAATCGCACAACATTCCTGTGCAAATTGCATGCAATTTGTGTGCGGTGCGATTGGAGCCATACAGTATGGCTCCAATCGCACCCGCATCAAAAAGGTACAGGACCCTTTTTTGGGTTTGCACTAGAATCTGATCGCATGGGTATTCACACCTATGCGATCTGATTCTGCACATCGCACCGTGTTTTTCGGACAGATTTCAGGGTGTTATTAATTTAACATACACACTCGCAGCGGTTTGCATGAACGGGGTGCAATTCTGATGCAGTGCAGAATTCGCACAGAAATCACTGCGAATTCCGGACCGCATCAGTGTTAACCCAGGCTTAATATTTGTCTGTGTTTTATTTTGTTTTGTCCTGCTTAAAACTAAAACACACTATTTTTTCTTTTCCCTACTACGGGTACAAAATCCAAATAATATACACATATAGTATCACTGCCATCATTGGGAATTTTATTTTGGTTGTTCTTTGGTGGGAAGTTATGGTAATAGCAAGAAATTAAAAGCTAAATCATATATATTTCATTTTGTAATTTTTATTATATAAATTTTTTTTTTTTTTGGGCCAATTTTCCTTTAAGAGTTTTTGTGCAAAATTGGGCCTGGGTGGTGGGGTTTGTTTTGACCCCGGTCATTAGGGGTTAAACTGTACAGCAGGTTCATCAGATGACAGCTGATTTTTTTTATATTTTTTAAATCTTTCTTGTATTTTCTTGCAGCTTCCTAGGGTGACTCGTTTTCTCTGAGGAGCCTAGTAGCAGACGGCTCATGACTTCAGATCAGGATACTAAAGTTGTGGCTGAACCGCAGGTGCAGCAAGTCCAAGAAGCCAAAGACAGTTCCCATCTTGTAAGTACTGTGATGCTGCTGCTCAGATAAATCAGTTAAGTGTTGGAAATTGTCTGTGCCTTTTTTACTTTTGTGTCTTAATTCCCTGTCTCAGAACTTAAATGTTGGCTGATGGAAGTTGAAGTTGTTCAGGCAAACAGCTTTTACTAGTTTTACTTATTAGCGCTTATATATATTGGGCTACATTAGACTTCATGCAACGGTGTGTGGAAGAAAGACATTATTTTTCTCCCTTCTGGCCTGCATTGAAAATATAAAACACAAATGCAGTTTGCTTGCTATGAACAGTACTCCTCTCCTCTTCTCATATTAAAGGAGATATTCCCTCTCCCGCTGATTGTAAAAGTGGTCCTCTGGCTAGTTAGCTGCTCTGATTGCTTTTACAAGAGAGCTGACCGTTGGCTCTAAACCCTGCTGCTTGCCCATAGGGGGGCTAAATGTAAACAAAAAAAACCTTGCCCCGACGCCCACAACTGTATCTCCCTGTCGTCAAGCAATAGGAATTGCACATTCCTGAACTAGAATGTTTCTGAAGTATCCCTTTACTTAGGTCTTTCACAAATAAGAGGATGTTCAGGGGCAAGAAAGATCTCTTTTCAGATATAGAGAGGTAAAGAGAAGTGGTACAGCCAAATGTTGCTTTGCTCGTTGGACTGGCAGGACAAATATACATTTGTTACAATATAGTGTATTACATACACTATATTGACAAAAGTATTGAGTCACCCCTCCAATTCATTGGGTTCAGGTGTTTCAATCTCCTTCATGGCCACAGGTGTATAAAATCAAGCACCTAGGCATCCAGTGGTAGTGGTACTATAACAAAGTGGAAGCATGTGGGAACAAAAGCAACTCACCCACAAAGTGGTAGGCAACTTAAAATGACAGAGCGGGGTCAGCGCATGCTAAAGCACACAGTGCGCAGAAGTCGCCTACTGTCTGAAAAGTCAATAGCTAAAGACCTCCAAACTTCATGTGGCCTTCAAGTTAGCACAACATTTCGTAAAGCGCTTCATGGCTGAGCAGCTGTATCCAAGCCTTACATCACCAAGTGTAATGCAAAGCTTCAGATGCATGCTGACACTGGACTCTAGAGTATTGGAGACGTGTTCTCTGGAGTGACGAATCTGGCTTCTGTCTGGCAATCCGATGGATGTGTCTGGGTTTGGTACTTGCCATTGACCTTTAATCATCACTGCATTGTGCCAAGTGTAATGCTTGATGGAGGGGGGGATTATGATGTGCAATTGTCTTTCAGGAGTTGGCTTTGGCCCCTTGGTTCCAGTGAAGGGAACTTTTAATGTGTCAGCATACGAAGACATTTTGGACAATTTCCCAACTTTGTGGGAGCAGTTTTGGGATGGCTCTTTCTTGTTCCAACATGACTGTGCACCAGTGCACAAAACAAGGTCCATAAAGACATGAATGAGTGAGTATGGGGTGGAGGAACCTGACTGGCCTGCACAGAGTCCTGACCTCAGCCTGGTAGAAAACCTTTGGGATGAATTAGAGACTGCGAGCCAGGCCTTCTCGTCCAACATCAGTGTCTGACCTCAAAACCTTGTAGACAGCCTTCCCAGAAGAGTTGAAGCTGTTACAGCTGCAAAGGGTTGGCCAGCTCAATATTGGACCCTATGGACTAAATGGATGCCATTAAAGTTCATATATGTGTAAAGGCAGGCGTCCCCATACTTTTGGCAATCTATTGTATATGCTAATTGGATGCAGTTTGAACCACTTCCAATCTGCATGACAGGTGAAATAAAATTGCTTCCTATGGTGCCTGTTCACATGTGTCCTGTGCACTGGTGGTGCTTGTTCCGTGCGGATTGAGTGTGGTTTGAAAGAGTCCTGTACGATTTCTGAGCAGTGTGGTCCGGTTCCGGTGCAGATTACAGGCTATTGACTTCTATGGGAAAAGTTTCTAAACCCGCACATGTGTGACCAGGATAAAATCCTGAGCTGATCCTGCCCTGAACCTGATGTAAACCTGACCTGAACAGCTAATGTGTCAATTAGCTGTGAACCCTGAGGTTCAGTCCGCAACGCACATGTGTGAACCAGCTCTCAAGTTGGGAATTGCTGTCTTTTTTTCTAAAGTGAAGTGCCTGTTAACTGGTGTGTTTTTTAATATGAGAAGACTGAATTGTGTCTTAAAGGATATGTTCACCTTTCAAACATGTTAAATGTTCTACCTGTTTTTAGGGTGTTAACCTTCTGCTAAACCTTACAACATCTCAAACCCAAGAAAACTTTCACTGAAGATGTCTAAAATTTTCCTCTTAAGTACCATGTTACTTCTTTACCTCAGTATATTGTGGTGGTTAAATGCTTACCCGCACCCCAACACCATAACATTTCGCTGTCAAGAGTTTGCTTGAAGAGAATCTCAGGTGGACTTGCGTGTGTGCTGAACATGTTACATGTTGCACCCATATTTAGGGTCTAACATGTTTAGCCTCAGATCGATTTCCCCCTCTCCCTTTGCAGCAGTGAGTCAGGGATCTTCTCCCCATATTCGCTGCCACAATTCAATGAGCGTGGCCATGTGGGCCCGTGAATCCAATGAACTACAAGTACTGAGAGCCTTTGCAGTTGTCGGCTTGTAGTTCTTAATGAATTCATTCTTCCTGCAAAATCATCTTCTCAGTTGAGCAGACTAATTACAATTACAGTCTGCAGGAGACCTGCATGGCACCAGTGATCTACTGATTGCTGGTGCAATGCTTTTACAGGCTTCTTAAATAAAAAGTAGTAAATGCACATTATTTTACTTGCAAAAAAATGTGTATTTATTTCTTGTAAAAAAAGTTAACTTATTCTTTAACACAAGCAACCAGTTCCTCTTTCAGGCACAGGAGTACTAGAACTGATGGTTTTAGATCACGCTGCAGCTCGCTGGGAGAAACCTGGAGGGGAAGGGGTACCCGAATTTGACAAGTACCCTCTCCCAGTTTTGCTGCGATCCCCTAGGCGATCAGAAGCGGAAGTTGTTCTCCCTCCCTGTAGTCTTCTGGGACACGTGAAGCTGCAAGCTGTCATAGCCGGGTGCCGTCGGAGCAAGGACGGCCAGTGAACCTGGATGCGGTGAGGACACCGCTGGATCTAGGGATAGGTGTGTGTCTGTTTTTAAAAGTCAACAGCTACAGTTTTTGTAGCTTCTGACTTAAATTTTTTTTTACATTTGACTGGAGCTCTGCTTTAAGCTTAAACCTGTTCCCACCTACTTTTAATTATCATGAGAGCTCCCCACCAGCTGGCTTCATGGGAGTACAATGGCTGCAGAGCTTGGGTTATGTCACCCATAGACCTTCTTTAGGGCTCCCTGTTGTCTGCTGTCTGTCCTCTCCCTTGAGGTTGGTGCTGGGAGCTGATCTTGTGACTGGACCAAAGTGCCCTTAAATAAGGCAAGTATAGTCCTCTTTCCTTTACAGGGTAGTTGTTATAAGGCTTAGATTGGGGGCAGCAGACCGTTTTTAAGGTTCGATTTCAAGTAGATTTCCACTTTAAGGTGACCTAGTCATGCATGACTGTCATTCCCTGCTGCTCTGCAGTGGGTCTCTGAACACTGGTGGTTCTGTCACTTCTTGAGTATTTGGTGTGCATTGTGGCCTAGGTGGAACTCCACAGCTGACCTTTGCTTACTTTACAATTGATCCATAAGTAAATCCTGTTGGTAATATCTTACACACTGTTGGTAGCCTGTGAGGGTCAAGTTTGTGTGTGTGTGTGTGTGTGTCTGTCTGTGAGGGTGTGTGTGTGTGTGTGTGTGTGTGTGTGTCTGTGAGGTGTGAATCCAAAGAACAAAAGGTATACAGCTCAGGCAAACAATCCAGATCAATCCACAACACCTGCAGGCTCCGGCTGCATCTTAATGAGATGATCTTAATAAGCAGGAGATCTTGTGAAATGCGTTAAGTCCTGTATTCATGTCCTGGTGTTTTGTGTGTTCTTTGGATCAATAAATACACACTATATTCATCTATCCTCCAGTGTGCAGCTGACCCTTCTTCCTATTACATTGTGTCTGTGCCCCCTACACACACACACACCCCCCCTACACACACACACACACCCCCCCCCTACACACACACACACCCCCCCTACACACACACCCCCCCCCCACACACACCCCCACACACACACCCCCCCCTACACACACACCCCCCTAAAACACACACACCCCCCCTACACACACCCCCCCCAACACACACACACCCCCCCCCTACCACACACACCCCCCCTACCACACCCACTACCCACACACCCCCCTACACAACACCCCCCCCCCTAACACCCTACCACACACACCCCCCCCACACACACACACACCACACCCACCCCCACACACACAACACCCCACACCCCCCCCACACACACACACACCCACACCCACCACACACACACACACCCCCCACACACACACACAACACACACACACACACACACCCCCAACAAACAACACCCACACACACCCCCCACACAACACCAACCACACACACACACACACACCCCCACACACCACACACACCACACCCCCCCCCACACACACACCCCCCAAACACCCCCCCCCACCACCCCCCACACACACACACCCCCCCTACACCACACCCACACACACACACACCCCTACACACACCCCCTACACACACACACACACACACCCCCCCCACACACACACCACACCCCCCCTACACCACACACCACCCCCCTACACCCACACCACACCACACCCCCCCCCCACACCCCCCACACCCCCCACCCCCCCCCCCCCCCCCCCCCCCCCCACCCCCCCCACCCACCCCCCACCACGCACACCCCCACACCCCTACACCACCCCCACACCCCCACACCCACACACCCCCACACCCCCCTACACACACCCCACACAGACGCACACACACCTGACACTGTTCAGCATCATGTCACACAGGGAGATTTCTAGAGGCATAACTCCTAGATATTTGGTGGGTAGCACCCCCACACCAAATCTGTGCCTT